AACATTATTATTTTATCAAATATAAATCAGAAACTTTTTGTAATTATAATATTAACAAAAAATTTTGTTTCAAAAATTGTGAAAATGATGATAATACTTTAAAAAAATATATAGCTGAAATGAAAGTATTAAAATCTAATAAAATATTTGATATAAATATTAATGATAATAAACAAATATTTAAAATCAAAGAAATCAGTACTGAAAATCCAAATAAAAATATATCATAAATTTGATAATATATTAATAAAGATAATTTCAACTGTCATTATTATTTAACATGCAACTATATATTCTTACTGTTATGAGTTCTGAACTCTAGTAAATAATTTTGTAATGTGTATGTTCAATCAATATCTCTAATAATTTCTCAGTTATACTAATTTCAATCCAGTTGTATTAGAATTAGTACGCAATGTGACTTCTTTTATTCTATTAAAATAGAATAGAATATCATTATTACTAATAAATATCTTTTTTTGTATTTATTTAGTGTGTGAACAGTCTTATAGCAATACAATATTAATATTCTATAGCAATCTAATTGAGTATTCAGTAGTACATAATAAAAATAAGTGTTATAATAATATTAATTATAAAATTAATTAATGTACAATTTTATTAAACAATAAACAAGAAGCAGTTTATTGATTAGCTAGATTTTGTATTAATCAATTGATATCTTTTGATTTATCCAAAAGATTCTTTATTTATATAAAATATTTTATAATAAGAATATTACAATATAAGATATATTATACATATTAGATAAATATATTATAACAGTATTATGATCAGACTTCTGATAGGTATTATCATAATATGAATGTTTAACCAATGTCTGATGACAGTAATTTTTACAATTACTCAATTTTTTCATAATATATATACTTCAAGATCACCATGCAGTGCGTTTTCTTCTATCTGTTGAATAAGCTCTCACTATTACTAATAAATATTATATTTACTTAATGTGAGATAATTCTAGCAATACAGTATTGATATTCTATAGCAACTTTAATGATTATCTAATAGTGTACAATAAATACAAGTATTTTAATAAGTTATTATTCAATTAATTAATGTACAAATTTCATTAACTATAAACAAGGAACAATTTATTAACTAGCTAAATTTTGTATTAATTAATTAATATCTTTTTCAAAACTTCAATTGCACTTTATTTATAATAAATATTTTTCACTAATAAATATTATATTTATAATTAATTATATAAAAATGATAAATAATAGATACTATATAAGTTGTGGTAATTATGATAATTGTTGTAAATAATAGTAATTACAGTAATTGTGATAATTATTAAAATTATGAAAGTTATAGAAATTATGAAAATTAGATAGATTATGAAAATTATGTAAATTTCCAGTTGTAATAATGGATAATGTTGATATATTTGAGAATTCTGCTATCTCTGCTATCTTTATAATTTATGTTTAATCACATAATCAAAATTAAGGAATTAAAAATAATTTTGGGCTATAACACTACCAAAAATTAATATATTAAATATATGAAATTACTTATATAAGTATAATCTACTAAATAAAAAAATTAAATCAAAATACATCTTGAGAAAGAACAAGTAAAATAAGTAATTCTTTTAATTAAATGGATTATTCAAAGTATACAACCTTTTTTAGTAATAATAATGCTTTATTTTATGATTTATTAAACAAGCTTGATCCACTATTTGCAATTCCTAAACACCAAATTATACACAATAAAATTTTAGAAACATTTATCAAGTAATAAATTAAACTTAATATTATTATTAATAATATTTTTGGTAAAGTTTCAATAACTATAGATATGTGAATTAGTATCAAAATGAAAAGTTTTATAGCAATTACAATTCAATTTGTTGATAAAGATTAGTATTTATATCATTTACTCTAGAAATTGCCAAATTTCAAGAATCTCATACAGGTACAGTAATTTGTAATTATATAATGAAAATTCTAGAAGAATTTAATTCAAATCAAAAAATTACTATGGATAATGACTCAAATATGATTTCAGCATGTCATCAAATAAAACAAAGACTTAATCCAAATAATATTGAAATTTCTAATTATTATTGTGTATGTCATATAATGAATCTTGCATTTAAAGATGAACTAAAAAAAATGGATACATTAATTCAAAAAGTATATCAATTTGTAAAAACAATTTGCAAATCTTATATATATTTAGAAAATTTAGAATGATATCATTTTGTGAATTAAAAAATATTTCTTTGACCAATTCTTGATATAAAAACATGTTAAAATTCAATTTTTTATATGCTGAAATGCATTCAAATACTTAAAGATTATCTTAATATATTAATTTTACAATATTCTTTACTATATAATTTATATTCAATATCAAATAAATGGAATTAAATTAGAAAAATTATAAAATTATTAGAGCAATTTGATATAGTTACAAAGAAATTATCTGCTCAACATTATTTTACTATAGCTTATATATATATTATTTTGCTTAGTATATGCAAGAATTTAAAAAAATTATAATGATAAAGATTTACTAAAAGAAATAACTATAATAATACACAACAAATTGCAAAAGTATTGGCAATATATTGATAAAACATCACATATGGCTGCATTTTTAGATCCATATTATAAAAAATATTGTTTTCCTGGAAAAACTATTCAAGAAATTTTGATCTGGTACAATGTCAACTTCTTACAACAATTACAAATACAATTTCAAATAGAAAAAGATCTATTTTTATAATGCAATTAATATAACATCCAGTAAATTCTTCTACACAACAAAATGATAAAATACAATGTTATTGGAATTTATCACCATAATAATGATGTAGAACCTTTAATGTGGTGAAAAATGCATCAAAATGAATATCTATTATTGTCTAATTTAGCATGAAATCATTTGTCAATTCAAGCAAGTTCAGTTCCTTGTGAACAATTATTTTCAATTGCTGGTGTTGTTATTAGTAAAGCAAGAAATAGATTAACAAGTGATAGTGCTCATGCATGTTTGTGTTTAAAAAGTTGGATAGATGAAAATATTTTATAGTTTTAATATTATTACATGTATCTTGCTTTTTATTTATTTAATCGGGATATGTATAGCAATATTTATGATATAAACTTTGATTTATCTGGCAGTTCATGTGATCGACTTTTAGTCGACTTAAGTCGACTTTGATCCCTGAGTCGATAAAAGTTGAGCTGAGTTTAGTTGAGTCGAGTCGTTAGCATCCCTAATTGAGGGTGACGTTCAACATCCCGACAATACATAAGCTCAACAAACGAAATCCCGAATGAACAGCATACCGAAAGCACGAACTCCCGAAAGCACGCATTTACTAATCCCCCAGGTTTCTGATTGGTTGAGTATATTAAAGGTTAGAGTCGATAATAAGGTTATATGTAAAATTGCCTCCCCGACATTTTTGATTAGTACTTCAAGCCAGATTTAAGCATTTCACATTATTTGGCGGTCTGATCAAAAATTTATGCATTTTTATTGGTTAATCTAGAAAACCTGGTGTGAAGTCAACCAATCAGCGATGGAAATTACTTGCATCCAATCAGAAACCTGGGGGAATTAGTAAATACGTGATTTCGTGTATTCGGGATTTCGTGCTGTCTTTTCGAAATTTCGCTCATCGGGATGCCGTCCTTTCGGGATTTCGTTCATTCGGTATGCTGTGCATTCGGGATTTCGTTCATTCGGTATGCTGTTTATTCGAGATTTCGTCCTTTCGGTATGCTGTTCATCCGTGCTTTCGGTGTGCTGTTCATTCGTGCTTTCGGTATGTTATTCATTCAGGATTTCGTTTGTCGGGTTTATGGCTTGTCGGGTTTATGGTTTCGGGATGTCGTACCAGATCCATATAGAGAAATGAAATAAAACGAATATATCTAAAAGTTTATTTTTAAAAAATCGGCGTTACTTTCTGTGGCGACTGTACACAATGTTGAACCAAAGGCAATCAACGCAAGCAACGTGGATGCCAGACAACTAAATAATATGGCAACAAATGTGGATGCCAAAGGCAACCAAGTAACATGGCAACCAAGCAATACGGTAACCAATACGCAATATGGCAACCAAAGGTATTAGAGTTAATGCTGGAATATGGGTGAATGTTTGCCGAAAATGACTGTTTTTTACGCAAAATAAATACTGTGAGCTGCATCACGTGAAATCTGCTCCGCTTTAGCCAACCCCTGATTAGTACATTTACACGTGATCCGTCGCACTGACTCGGAAAATGTCACGTGATTAAATCCTATTTCGAAACATTGTTCGTTGATTTTTCGAGATTATAATTACATTCCAGGAGTAATCGAAATCACATAATCTGACATTTTTTCGCTACTAACGCCAATAAAACATTACGCAATAAAAATCACCAGCAAATAAATTTATCATGATGAACATATGAAACAATGAACTAATATAAGAAATAGGTGATAATTAGACATATATATTTGATTTTAAGAATTGATTTTCATTCTGTGCTCCTATGATCTCAGCGCCTTCGAACCCGGAATCCGACCAGTTGTCAAGATTTTCATTCATATGTAGTCTTTGATTGTATGATTGCGATAAAACGATACATGTATTGCAAGCCTAAATTCGAAAACAGGTTTCATGCCACAAAAACCAACGGTTGGTCATCACTCCATGAGATGTTCACATGGTTTATTAACTGTTGGTGGTTGTCTTGAATGATATCCTTGTGAAAATTAATAACATGACATAATTATACGGTCATATATGTTATTTGTGTATCAAAGGGCCTTTGAAATTAATTCCTTGATATATACTATCGTTAACTTAGGATTACCTTGTGCAAGCGAGTTTTTTTCTTCAGTTTCATTGACCGCATATAACACAAGGATCATTGTTCCGACGTAAGATATAAGAGTGAAGTTTAACAAACAATCTACACTTTTTTCATATATAAATATATAAAATAATAATAATTAAAAATGTTTCTCGTTAAACAAAATTTCGCTTCAGTCACAGAAGAAACTATTAACGCGCAAATTAATACTGAGCTTGAAGCGGCCCAAACCTATCTTTCTCTAGCCGCCTGGGCAGGAAACGTCAGTGTCGCGTTACCAGGCCTAACCAAATTCTTTCATGAAAGTGCTCAAGAAGAACGTACACATGCTGACAAACTAATCAATTATCAAAACCTTCGTGGTGGAAAAGTTGTTCTCACCGATTTAAAAGCACCAGAATCCAATTGGACATCGGCCAAAAATGCACTAGAAGCGGTGCTTCAACTCGAAAAAGATGTCAACAAATCTCTTTTGAATCTGCATAAAATCGCTGAGGAACGGAATGATCCACAGTTGTGTGATTTTATTGAGTCAGAGTTTTTGGGCGAGCAAGTTGATGCTGTTAAGAAAATTGCAGATTATGTGACTCAATTGAATCGTGTTGGTGGGGATGGACTTGGTCTTTATTTGTTTGATCAGGATTTGTTGGCGGGAAAATCGAT